GCCCTGCTCACGTGCCGCCTTCGGCACGTGTGCCATAGGTTGCCTACCCCTGGTCTAGTGTGATGCTACTTCTGCATTCAGTAAAAAGGCAGAGAGGACTGTGAATAGACACACGAAGCAGGCAGGTCTGTTGCAGAAGAATGCACCAGGGTCACTTTTCACGGTAGCACTGCGCTTTGAGCAGGAAAAATTGCCTTTCGGAATCCTGCTGCAGGTTTCCCAAATATCAGCACTTGGCATCTGCATGCAAATTGGTGGGAACTAGAGACCTAACTGGGATCAGGGCCTCATTGTGGGAGACGCTGCACAGACACATAGGACTAGTCTACACTGGCAACGCTAAAGTGCGGTCGCGGCAGCGCTTTAACATGGCTTGTGTGGTCGTGGCGCAGCACTGGGAGGGGCGTAGCTCCCAACGCTGGGAGTGCAGCTCCCAGTGCTGGGACATTGTCTACCCTCGTGCTTTACAGCGCTGAAACTTGCTGCGCTCAGGGGGGTGTTTTTTCACACCCCTGAACGAGACAGGTACAGTCTGTAAATTGCCAGTGTAGAGAAGCCCATAGTGAGAGACAGGCCCTGCCCAGAAGAGATTACCAGCTAAATAGACAAGACAGACAAAGGGTAGGAAGAGAAAGTATCTGATGACTTAAAATGTTGTGTTTAAGGAACTCTCATTTATTTGTTAGCTCCTTCTCACACCCAGCTGTTTTTCAGGAGATGTGAAAGCTGGTGACAGAACATCACCACCTTCACAAAGCAGCCCTGCCTTCTACCTCTAGGGGGAGCCCGTTGGTCTGGATTTGTAGAGAAAACAGAAGTGCTCAGCCAGCGCCCGCACCGGAGGCCACATTTTCAGCCGGGCTCAGCTCCCATCTCAGTGCCCTGAGGAGTGGGCCACACGTTCAAAAGCCGGCTGGAGGCTGAGCCGTTTTGAAAACCCAGCTCTTATCTCGGGAGCTGAGCACTTCTGCAGTTCTGGCTGTGGGCGCTGAGCACTTGAAAATCTGGCCTGGAGCTAGGGTGACCAGACAGCAAATATGAAAAATCGGGACACAGGGTGGGGGGTAATAGGAACCTATATAAGAAAAAGACCCCAAAATCAGGACTGTCCCTATAAAATCGGGACATCTGGTCACCCTACCTGGAGCATTTGTACTGTTGGTAGCAAGGTAGCACAGTCTACTGGGTAGGGCAGTGCCCTGGGAATAAGGAAACCTAGGCTCTTTCCCCAGCTCTGCAAACAAGTCACTCCACCTCTCTGCAACTGTTTTCCCTTTGTCTGTTAAAACTGCAGACTCTTCCAAGCAGGAACTCTCTCTCGTTCTGTGTCTACGCAGCACCTGGCACAACAGGGCCCCGAGCTCAGTGAGGGTCTTTTGGTGCTAGTGTCATAGACATCATCATCATTTTGACCATCTGGCCCTTGGCCGTTTTAACTGCATGCACTCAGCTTGGTTTCTTGTGCGGAAACAGGGTCTGCTCATCTCTTTTGTTACGTGGGGCTGTCTTCCTCCTTGACTTCAGTGGGGTTACATCGGAGTAAGAGGGGGCAGAAGGTGTCCCTCTGTGTCTGAGTTCTGGACCCATTTCTCTATATAATGTAGCCCCCCACTCCAATACAGGAAACATTAATAGTCCTGTCCATTTATCATGCGGAAGGATGCCACCCATTAGCACGAGCTACCGGGGGAGCTGTTCCGTGCCAGCAATTCAGGCCCACAGAAGCAGTTTTAGATAGGGGAAATAAAGAATACCTTGTATGTCGAAAGCACAGGGGACGCGTAAGGAGGCAGGATGAAATTACCCAATGCTGGAATTTGGCCTGGACACCAGCATTAAGCCTCCAAATCCTTACCTAAAAGGTGCCATCAGATAAAAGGAGGGCAGGTGCCTCGTAGTGTTGTAACAATTAAGTCTATAACTTTTGCCCGCTTAGGAATTAACCATGAAAAGTAGGTCAAGTTAGTTTCAATAATGAACGTTATAAACGGTGCAAGGAAACCAGACAGAGACTAAATTAATCCAAACAAAACTGCCCACTCCTATGGTTCAAGGACTGCATTGAGGTTGGACTTAAGAAAATGTGGAAATGAAGTCCAATAGGAAGTTCAATGTGTCCTTATAGAAATAGTTTAATTGTTGTGCAAAATAATGAGGAGATGAAGTAGGCCACTAGGATCAGCTGAGGATTGGGCCCAGCCTTTACTTCAGCAGGGGGGGAAAGGGCAGATTTCCTGCAGGATAGCAATGTTCTTCCGAGCTGCAGCTGCCTTTCTGCACAGAAACTCCAGGGGAGTGGGGTTGTTTGGCTGGCTGTTGTTCGGGAAAGCTATATTTGTGGGGCTGGGTCACAGGGTCACAGCAGCATCTGAGCTACATTCCCACCGGCTGTCTGCCTGGAGTGACTAAATGTGCTGCATTAAAATTAGCAGCTGACAATTAAGCCTGCCGCTGGGAACCTGCTCCAAGTGGTGAGTCATGCATAGTGATGGATGTACCATACCTGCTGCTTTGCGTCTTGTCTCCCCACCACAGAGTCCAAGCCCTGGCAACGCGGGGTGCTAATGGTGCAGGCAGGCAAGTACTCCAGCTTCAGCTCCTTTGTCTCCCCTCCCCCCCGGCGGATGGGAAAACCCATTCATTGGGGAAACCCATGGTGCTCGCCCCCTTGATGGGCCTGCTAAAAGTGGGATGTTGTTGCTATGGTTATTTGGTATTTTTGTGGTCAGGGTAAAGTGAGAGCTGCTTTTAAACTCCTGTTCTTCCACCGCAGATCTCAAAGCTCTCCACAGTGAACGCAGACCCGCTGCAAGACGGAAGCATTTGCAGCTATTCCACAGCTGTGTAGGGCTTCACCATTGTCACTGCGCTGCCTTCGGAAGCCAGTCAGAACATCCCAGCAGTACCACCTACCTAGCTATGGTACGTACTTCTAGTACCACTGGCACAGTTCGGGGCAGCTGCTCCTGTATTCCTCCTGGGTCCAGCAAGGACTCTCCCTCTCTGGCTGTGGGCTGTCATGGCCGTGGAGACACGTGTCTCCCTCCCTTCTGACCAGGATATCTCCAGCCTGAACAGGTCCCTGCCTTCACGGTGTTCTTCTCAGCAAAAGGCAGGCTACGGAAGCAAGCTTCTCTTGCTTTCTCTTCAGAGACTAACAACCCAGCAATTGCCAACAGTATCTAAGTTATCACACAGTTCTTAATAAGCAGCCATATTTTATTCTCAAGGGACTACAGAGAAAACTTATTAAAAGCAACAGAAGAACCTATCCGCGTACTGTTACCCGAAATTGGGCCAGCTAGTAAGCTTAGGGAGGACTAATGACCCACCAGAGTTTGGCAGAAAGCAGCATGTTTATTATTCTGATAGCTAAGCTCAAAAGAAGGGGGAGGGGGGGGTCACACTCACACACTCACACTCCCAGGACAGGCACGGCACTGGAGATGTCAGGATCCTTCAAGGTAAGTGTCCCACAGCGCAGCGATGGACGGGGCGATGAAGGTAAGTCTTCCCAAGGCACGATGGATTGCAACGCGGCGAGCCACTGTCCAGGCAGTCCGGGAGAAGGGTCTTCATGGGAGGTACAATCTTGTGAGTGCACTGCCGAGCACATGGCCTCTTCCCCTTTTAAGGTCCTGCTCCTCATGGCCTGCGACTAGGTAATAGACTTTAAGGTCAGAAGGGACCATTATGATCGTCTGGTCTGACCACCTGCACAATGCAGGCTACAGAATCTCACCCACCCACTCCCGCAACAAACCCCTAACCTATGTCTGAGCCACTGAAGTCCTCAAATCATGGTTTAAAGACTTCAAGGTGCAGAGAATCCTCCAGGAAGTGACCCGTGCCCCACGCTGCAGAGGAAGGCGAAAAACCCCCAGGGCCTCTGCCAATTTGCTCTGGAGGAAAATTCCTTCCCGACCCCAAATATGGCGATCAGCTAAACTCTGAGCATGTGGGCAAGACTCACCAGCCAGACACCCAGGAAAGAATTCTCTGTCGTAACTCAGATCCCACCCTGTCTAGTGTCCCATCACAGGCCATTGGGCATATTTACCGCAAATAGTCAAACTAGAGATGACTTGGCTGCGTCTGGTTGGTCACACTCCACCTTGGACAGTGTCCATGCAATGGGTGTGTGAGCGCTGCCTAATTAGAGTCCCAGACACCATAGGCACCAACTTTTCCCAATGCCGGTGGGTGCTCGCGCCCCCCAGTCCCTGCCCTGACTCCACCCCTGCCCTGTCCCCATTCCAACCCCTTCCCCAAAGTCCCTGCCCCAACTCTGCCCCCTCCCTGCCCCTATTGGACCCCTCCACTTCACAGGTATTCAAAGAGGGAGAGGAGATGAAAGGGGGGAAGGTGTAACAGACCTTTTGAACATACAGGTTATACAGAGCATACAGATCACTGCTGCTCCTACAGATCACTGCTGCTGCTACTAAACTGGTCCGAGATCCCGCCTCTCCAACATGGGCACTGGCAGGGATTTTCACCTGGTTTCAAGTTCATCACACCCTCAGCTGAGAACCATCACAGCCTGGAAAAGTTTCGTTCACCCTTTAGAGGTCTTTGAACTGCCCATGAAGAGGCAACAATGAGTCTCTGCTTCAAAAGGCTGGATTTGAGGTGGGTCATTTGCATTTCCTTCACCCACCCCCCCAAGTATTTCCTAGGAAATACACTTTGCTCATATTGCCCCCCCCCCGCCCAAGTCCTCTGAAGTCCCTAATATCTTCCAGAGATTTCATTAATCGTGTCCTCTCGCCTAAAGAGGTTCCATACAACCCCACGCTAGCCCATGAACATTTGCGTTTTCACGACAACGGACTCCCAAAATCCTTAACCTTCATTCCATGAGGTTTAACATGATTCCATGAGGTTCGGCCAGGACACTACTGGATCTGTCCCAACTACTTATTACCTGTAGGATCTGAGCACCTCACAATCCACGTGACACTCAACTTGGAGAGGTTTCCGAGTTTCTAAAATAATGAACCACCCTGGCATGTCGAACAGCTGGCTCAAGCTGGACCCTAGGGTCTGGGACCCTCCTGCCTCGCGGGGTCTCAGAGCTCAGGCTCCAGCCCAAGCCTGAACGTCTACATGGTAATTTTATAGCCTCGCAGTCCAAGCTCCATGAACCTGAGTCAGCTGATCCAGGCCAGCTGCGGCCTCACTGCAGGTCTTTCATCGCAGTGTAGAGGTACCCTTTGTTGTGCTCTGCTCTCTGCCAGCCCCGCTCTCCCTCTCCGGGCCTAGATGCCGATTCTCTTTGCTGTCGTTTGCACCACTGCGTCATTGGCGCAAACCAAATCAGCATTTGACAGATGTGGAGAAATTGGAGAGGGTCCAGAGAAGAGCAACAAGAATGATTAAAGGTCTTGAGAACATGACCTATGAAGGAAGGCTGAAAGAATTGGGTTTGTTTAGTTTGGAAAAGAGAAGACTGAGAGGGGACATGATAGCAGTTTTCAGGTATCTAAAAGGGTGTCATAAGGAGGGGGGGAGAAAACTTGTTCACCTTAGCCTCTAAGGATAGAACAAGAAGCAATGGGCTTAAACTGCAGCAAGGGAGGTCTAGGTTGGACATTAGGAAAAAGTTCCTAACTGTCAGGGTGGTTAAACACTGGAATAAATTGCCTAGGGAGGTTGTGGAATCTCCATCTCTGGAGATATTTAAGAGTAGGTTAGATAAATGTCCATCAGGGATGGTCTAGACAGTATTTGGTCCTGCCATGCCGGCAGGGGACTGGACTCGATGACCTCTCGAGGTCCCTTCCAGTCCTAGAAGCTATGAATCTATGAGCCATTTTACCCTGGTGTAAATGACCACACACCGGAGAGGGCAGTGGGGAATTTGGCCCCAGGTCTTTTCCTTTGCAGGGTGTTTCATTGCCGTAGTTTCAGCTGCCAGTGACACCAAAAATCACAAGCGCCCAGGAATGGGGGTATTCTTGCACCCGCATTAACTCTCCCGTCTCCTTCGCTGGTTCTGCACTCTGCTCCTCTGAGCCGTCATGACACAGGTCAGGAGCTGGGACTCTCCACTTGCCATGTCCAAGGGAGTCCCTGGCTGCTGATCCTCCACAATCCGTGCAGGCCAGCGATCCAGCACCCACCCCACACCGTACAAAGGAAAAGGGCCAACCTCTGCCCCAAGCACCAGCCTCTCGGACACCTGACAAGTCCCAGAAGCATCAAGCGGACGGCAGCAACCTAACCCCGCCAAGCACGGTGTGGATTTCTCGGCGCACCAGGCAACGCTTCCCCATGCTGGCTGCGCTCATCAGAATCTAATGCGCCCTCCTGACCCCCTCGGAGAGCAGCTGGGGAACAGAAGGCGTCATGCTCCAGCGAGCAGGGCAAAGCAGCTGTCTCGCCATCGGCCTGCAGGGTTGCTAAGTGGGCATCAATCTTGCATCACTGGTCGAGTGTGTGTGGGGGATAAGTTTACAATGTCACCCCCGGTCCCTCCTCCATGGGTGTCTGCTTTCAGCGAGCGCTCTGTGTCAAGCGACCAGTGGCTGTCACCAGTGCTGATGGACTAACACTTCCCCGCAGCAGGGATCCAGCAAGCGTCTCAGGCTGGGCTCCTCTGGGAACACCCCACTGCCAGGGTCTTTTCTCTCCTGCATCCCTGCAGGGCGGTTTTATCAGAGCAGACAGAAATCCCCGCCTGTTAGCATTCGTGCTCAGGATCAGCAGTAGCTTTGGAGCTGGGGGAGAGCAAGAGACGGGGAAGAGAGCCCGGCCCGATAAAGGATTGGTTCCGTTTGTGCATCCGCGCCGTGTCCGGGATGGCAGAGGTGGGGTGGAGAAAGGCACCTACCATCGCTGCTCATGAGACCGGTATGCTTGCTGTGAAGCCCCCGGTTCCCTTTGGCGTGGGGCGAGAGTGTAAGCAATGAGGAGCAGGTCTGTCTTTTTATGATGTGTCTGTACAGTGCCTAGCACCGGGGGCCTCGATCTTTAGGTGCTACTGTAAATAAATTAATAAATAACTTCAGAGGGACTGTCATTTCCTGTACATTTGTACGGCCCTTAGCAAAATGGGAAGCTGACCTAGAGGTGCTACTGTGCCTCAGTTTCCCCATCTGTAAAACAGGGATAATGATTTTGACTTCCTTTGCCAAGCATTTTGAGATCTGCTGATGAAAAGGGCTATATAAAAGTGAGGGATTATTATTGTTATGACTGCAATATACATCATTAAAATAATGGATGATAGCAATGAATCTCCTGACTTTGGGCGGGCAGCCCAGCAAAGGAACTTTATGAAACCTACCTGGAAATTGCTCCTTTAGAGAATCAGATTTGAGAGAGTGTTTTTTTGTTTGTTTCTGTTTTAAAGATCCTGAAAGGTCTGGATATGTTTATTTCTGAGATGGGCCCATCCCAACCGCACCACAGCGCAGCTGGCCTGGGGCAAATTCCTGGCCTGCTTGGTGCTTCAGTTTCCCCATTTGTGAAAAGAGGGATTGTAAAATTGACCTACCTCACAGCAGGGACAGAGGGGATGTGGTGAAGCTGAAATGTCTGTTCAGAGCTGCTGTCAAGATGTCAAGTGTCCCATAAGTGCTAAATCGTTAGAAATCACTGCTGGAAACAGGAGCTGGTGGGAGGTAGTTGGTCTTGGTTCTGTAACATTTCTGTTCATTACAGTGCTCTGGATTCAGGCAGCACTTTCCTTAGTGCTGTCACTTCACTCCTCTTGAAGTAGGAGCTGCAGGCGTTTCGATGACTGGCTTATGAAAGATGCTTTAGTTCCACCGTTGCTTCTGTAAGCGCGTGTGTATCCGCTGCTGGAATTCTATCTGTTCCCTTCTCAAATTGGTACCCCAACACTGCATCCTTGGACAGCAGAGAAACTCCGTTTCTTAGGGCATGGCTGCCTCTCATGTCGATGTACCTGAGCTAGCTTTAATGTAGCTGGCAGCAGTGAGTTTCAGCACATGTATCATTGGGCATGCCTGCCCTGTAGCGCCCCCTTCTGGCAAAGCATGGTGCTGCGAGCCCTGCCCTCAGTTTACCTTCTTCAGGGGCTCCTTAAGTCACCTCCTCCAGTCCAGAGTCGTTAAAACATTCTCCTTCTGGGTCTAATTTACAATTCACAACAACACACAGTCCTGCAGGCCTTCCCCCACTCCACCCTCCTCTTCCCTGGGCCATTCCCCAGCTGGAGTCTCCCCCCCCCACTTCCCCGCCCCCCTCCACTCCACCCTCCCTCTTTTCCCAGGAGAGGCTCCAAGCCTTTCAGCTCCACCCTAGCTCTTGCCTGCTCTTTCTTTCTTTCTTTCTATGGCAAAGCAGAGTTGGCTGAAAAATCTATATCTAAATCTAACTACTTAGTGGTTTATAGTCTCTCATTCTGCCCTGGGTCTTCCAGCAGGCAATGGTACAACACCTTTCTAATACTACCCCAGTTCCCTGATATTTTCACCCCCGTTTCCTCTTCCTGTTTCCCCCCTTTATAAGGCGCCTTCCATAAGACCAATTTGGGCAGCAGGTAATGAGTCACACGTGCCCACTACCTCTTAGAGGGCAAGTCACCCTGAGCTAGCTTGCTAGCCCTGCAAGTAATTACCCAGGGTTCCAGGTGGGCTTGTAGGAGTCCATGTTAATACGGCCCCACTGTTCCAGTACCCGAGCTAGCTAGATCAAAGCGAGCTCAGGTAGGTCTGTGTGAGCTGCAATCACAGTCTGTGATTGGAGACTAGACATGCCCTTCGTGGCGGTACATCCCCTGCTCAAAGGCTGCACCAAATTGGAACTTCAGCTGTGTGCCCTGCACGTAAAATACGGACCCCCCCCCCAAACCCTGATGCTGAAACAGCTTCAAATGGAAGGCGATTGCTCTAACAACATATGCGAATTAATAGATTAGTATGAATTATTTGTTATTGTAGCACATAGGAGTGCCCGCCATGGGCCAGGACCCGATGGTGCTAGGGGCTGTACAGATACAGAAAAAGACAGTCCCTGTCTCAGAGAATCGCGTCGTCAATCTCTCTTCTGATGTGACAGCATCAGGGGTTCTGTGCGGACAGCAATCGGCAACTTCCTATATGAAAACTCCACCGGGCTGAAGCAATATAATAATGTTTCTCCGGTGCCTTTGAATCTGAGCATCTCAGCGTGCTTCGCAAACACGAAATAATTTCATTGTCAAGTCCCCCTTGGAGGATAGAGAACTCTCACAGTGTCTGCGTTAGAGGTGGGGAAACCGAGGCACAGAATGGTTGAGCAACTTGCCCAAGGTCCTCCTTGGAGTCAATGGCCGAGTCTGGGGAAGTACGCAGGAATTCCTAGCTTTTTTCTTCTAATCACCAGCTCGGACTCATTTCCAAGAGTTGGGCACAGAACCCAGGCATCCTAGCGCTCAGTCCTGGGTTCAGATCACTAGCTAACGCTCCTTTCCAGCGCGAGGGACAGAACGCCGCAGTCCTGGCTGCTTCTGCTCTAACCACTAGGCTACATTGCTGATGGCAGTCTGGTTTTCTGACACATTATTAACTCATGTGCATTTTGTTGGTTTGTGCCAGGCCCTGGGCCGGGACAGTACCGTCTGCCTCCTACTGTCTGATTTGTCAACCACGACTACACCAAGTTAACCAGCCCAGCTTATTCCTTTCACAGGAGACTCAACAATGGCAGTAAGTCTTTGTGACCCACTCTCTCTCGAGACACAGTATCCAGTGTCACTTCACCCACCTCCCAGCCCTTCCTCCGAGCATCCGCTCAGGCACTGAGTCCAAGATCAGTATGTGTGTGTATACCGCACCCATGTGTGTATACCTCCCCTCCATGTGTATATATGGCCCATATGTGTTTGGATCCCATCTCTGTGTGTGTACCCCAGTGTGTGTGTGTGTGTGTGTACCCTCCAAGTGTGGGTTTGTCTGTCTGTTTATATCACCCATGTGTGGGTTTGTGTCCTGCCTGTGAGTGTTTATCACCCATCTGTGTATGTGTGTTTTCTCTGTGTGTGTGTATCACTCATGTGTGTGGGTATATCACCCGTGCATGTGTTCTGTGTGTGTATCACCCATGTGTGAGTTTGTGTTCTGTGTGTATGTGTGTGTTTTCTCTGTGTGTGTGTATTACCCGTGTGTGTGTGTGTTCTGTGTTCTGTGTGTGTGTGTGTGTATCACCTGTGGGAGTGTGGGTGTGTTCTCTGTGTGTGTGTGTGTGTTGCCCATATGTGGGTTTGTGTTCTCTGTCTGTGTCTAGGAGAACTTCTTGCACACGGATCTTTTGTGCTTTGCCATTGTGTACAGTTTTGCTGTTACCATGAGTGTGCCGGAACAGGGCAACTTTGAAGCTGCATTATCTCAGCTGACCAGGCGGAGAGCACAGCCACCTGACGGCTCTTTATTTCCAAAACAAGAATGCACAGGGTGAAGCAGGGAGCCAGAGCTGAGAGGCCAAAAGCACATTACTCTCAAGATCAATAGGATTTGTAATTAAAACCAATACACCTTTTGTCCCTGCACCATACCCCTCCTGGCCAAACTGCATCCCCTCCCCGTTCTGTCAGAGCGTGCCGCTTCCGCCGGGTCATTGAAATGCAGGCCCACGACCATCAGGGGCTTCTGTCACTCATCTCTGAATGCAGCTGTCACGCTGTCCTGACCTTAGCCTCAAAGCAGTGAGCCCCACTGGCCTGGCATTTTGAAAAGCTGTCGCTACTAAAAATGACAGAAGCGTGCCCGATTAGTGGAGGTTATGACTGCACGTACCCAGCAGCGTTGTGACAGCTAGTTGTAACAGGCACTCTTCAGCTGTGGATCTCAACGAACTGGGGAGTAACTTTATTCCCATTGTACAGCTGAGGAAACTGATTTTCCTAAGATCAGGAGCAGCAGAACCAGGGCTAGACACCTGCCCTCCCCTGCAGCCCTGTCAAGCTCTTGATGTTGCTTACAAATGATCAAAGGCCTGGATCTGAGTTCATAGTTGCGGCTTTTATACGGATGCAATTCCACTGACTTGAGTGGAGGTCTTGATTTACACCGGTGTACGTGAGTGGGAATCAAAGACCTTTATTTACTCCAGCGTCATTCCCCAGGAGGGGCCGGAGTCTGATCTCAGGCCAGCATAAATCCAGAATGACTCCATGGAAATCAGCGGGATTATAACAGTGTAACAGATCAGAATATGGCCCAGTTGGGATGCGCAATCCAATTAAGATGTGACCGACAGGCCCATGACCAAATTCATCCCTGGTACAATCCCACTGAAGTTACATCAGGCATGAATTTGGCCCACTCCGTAGGAGAAAGCGCTGGCCTATCTTCCCAGCCGCCCCATGGCTCTATGCTTTTCCCTTTTGTTGTCAGTGTACTTTAAAGACTCAAGCCCAGGTCCCTGCTATTACGTGGACCCGCAACTCACTCGCTTTGGCAGGAGCGGAGGCCCATCCTATTCCATGCTGGCGAGATCAAAGACCCTGGGTGAGTGGAAGAGCATCAAAAGCCTCCATTGGGCTAGGAGTTGGTGGGGAGCACACGGGTGGCTGGTTTGGTCGCGTCAGCAGCTCTTTGGGTTGCTTTTAAATTGAATGTAGTGCTGGTTCGGCAACCCCGGGCCTCTCTTTATCCTCAGGGCAAGCCACTCCTCCGCCATTGTTCCTCGCGGGAGCCCCCTAAGGGTGAGAATGGCCCATTCAGCCCTGGGCTGAGGCTGTTTCCAGGGGCGAATCAGTGCCAACTCTGGGGTCGGCTTTGGTGCAGCAGACACCATGGGTCAGGTTTTTGGTGCAGCAGAGGATGGCCTGTGACGGCCAGTTCATTCAGTTGCCTGACCTGGTAGGAGCGGGCATTCCTGCCCCACCAGGGCTGGATCGGAAGTGGCTATGCAGAGCTGAAAGGCCTCTCCTGGTGCAACAGGAACTGGCCCCCAGTGGAGGCAGGAGACCAGACGACTAGCGCGCTCTGGCCTGGGAAATCCTAGACTCCACACCGGCAGCAAGCCACATCCAGCGTTATCGGGGTGACATGACGCGGTGCTGGGCACGAGCTCCTGTTCCTGACTGCGCCCAGCTTTAGCGTTTAATGCTGTGTCTCCTTCAGTGCAGCCACGGACCCCTGGGCCAGGCAGGTACAGTCCAGAGAAAGCCCCACCTGTCACCCAGCGCAGGCCGCCGTCTTTCACCATGGGATCTCGTACCAAGTACCGGCGGGTGGATCCCGTCCCTGCCCCGAACAGCTACACTCTCCCCTCGCTGCTGGGCTCCGGGGTCCCCAGCAAACCGTCCAGCCCTAGTGTCACCATCTCAGGGCGGAACAAACATGGTGGCTTTTCTGAGGACTTGTCCCAAACGCCCGGCCCCGGCCATTACAACAGGACAGATCCCAACACCTACTTGCACCGGGCACCCGCCTTCTCCATTCGGGGGCGACGCAGTGCGCCCGGGGCCGCCTTCCGGACACCGGGGCCTGGAACGCACAGCCCCGAAAAGGTGACCGCCCACAGGACAAGAGCCCCAGCCTACTCCCTGGGTGTCCGGCACTCCGAATTTGTCACTCCTCTCATTGTGGATGTTTCCCAGTGGGGCAGCAATTCCCTGGCGTCAGGTCACCGGCCTTGATTTACCTTCCCTGCCTTGATCTACTGGATCTCCAGTGACTCAGACTGGAAGCTCTTCGCTTTGCCCCCAGCCCATGCCAAGCAGTCCTGGGAGAGCTTCCAAGCAGCGGCTGCGCCAGCACTTGAGACATTTAAAACTGGGCCCGTCCAAACCCTGTGGAACTGTAGGGAACCACCCGGCACTGCTCTGCAGCGGGAGAAGTTTTCCTAGGGTTGCCAACCTTCCAGGATTGGCCTGGAATCTCCAGGAATTAAAGATTAATCTTGAATTAACGATTATGTCCTCATGTGATGAAATCTCCAGGAATACAACCAACCAAATTTGGCAACCCTAAGTTTTTTCCGCCTCTGTGATGCTTTGATTCTCTAACAGCCTCCACGAACTGGGTTCTGATCTTCCCTCTTGGAGACCCAAAGTTTCTTTACTAAACGGGTCAACAAAGAAGAATTTCAAAGACTGTGTTTGTATGCAGTGTGGACCTGACGCAGAGCTCTGGGTGGCTCGTAAGCTTGTCTCTCTCACCAACAGAAGATGGTCCAATAAATGATATTACCTCCCCCACCGTATCTCTCTAAAGATATTTTCAGGGCAGGCAGGGGAGAGGGGGGAAAGGAAAGAGGTGCCGCTTTCTAGCCCCCTCCCTGGCATTCCTCCGGGTTCGATTGTCACATTTACTTTCCCACCGTTTATTACTGCTGCTGGTTTTTGCTCTTCTCCCGCCTAAGGCAGTGAAAGTAGGCTGGTTAGTTTCACTTGCAGTATCTAGTCAGTTCCCTTTCAGGTTCTAAGGCAGTACCAGGCCTTTGCGTTTGGGTTTACAGCCCTGCAGGGGGGACCTTTGCAATCCACCCCCTGGGCCCTGATGAATGGAATTATTTCTGTTGTAATAGGTTTTTAACCCCACCTTTCCCCTGTGTATTTTTAACAACGTTTGGGCCTGAGCTATTCACTAGCATCATTTATAACGTACAAAAAAGTTTCCAAGGGTGACAGAGGTTCTTCAGGTTCAGAATAAATTTACTAACCAACGAAAGACAAGATGTTGAAATTCTGCCTCCCCTGCTGCATCGCAGCTCTCCACCCCCACGCCCTAGGTTTCTTGACCTTTCTGCACTAAACCACACCACCCTGCTAGCCCTCACACAGAGCTGTCAAGTGTCAACACCACTGGCGTAGGCGCCTCCTTCCCTGTTCCTTCCTGCTCAGCCACTGACACCCCGTGAAGGACCGCAGCACAGACCCTTCACTGGTGTCAAGGGATATAGCCTGAGTTATATGGATGTAAATCAGTAGAGGATCCACCTCGCTGGATGGGAAGGGGAGGAGGGGAAGACAACATGACTAGCCATCTTGATAGTGTCCCTAGAGAACTTGGTCCCTGGTCCCAGACACCGGTTCTGTCCTGTGCTAGGAGGCGGGGCTGTATGAATTTGGGAGGCAGGTGTGATGGGGGTTATAACTTATGTGACAGGGTCAGGCAAGATGGCTACAGGAGAGTTATAGAAGGAAGATATATTAGCCCCAGGTTAAGTAGGTCCCCTTTCCCTGGGTAAGGTAACAGGGAAGGTTCCAGAACAATCAGGAGCTTTCTGGAAACAATTAAGGCAGACAGGCTGATTAGAACACCTGCAGCCAATCAAGAAGCGGCTAGAATCAATTAAGGCAGGCTAATCAGGGCACCTGGGTTTTAAAAGGAGCTCACTTCAGTTTGTGGTGCGCGTGTGAAGAGCTGGGAGCAAGAGGTGCAAGGAGCTGAGAGTGAGAGGATGTGCTGCTGGAGGAGTGAGGAGTACAAGTGTTAACAGACATCAGGAGGAAGGTCCTGTGGTGAGGATACAGAAGGTGTTGGGAGGAGGCCATGGGAAAGTAGCCCAGGGAATTGTAGCTGTCATGTAGCTATTCCAGAAGGCACTCTAGACAGCTGCAGTCCACAGGGCCCTGGGCTGGAACCCGGAGTAGAGGGCGGGCCCGGGTTCCCCCCAAACCTCCCAACTCCTGATCCAACACAGGAAGATCTCTGAGGCTAGCAAAAGCCACCAATAAGCACAGGACCCACCAAGGTAGAGGAGGAACTTTGTCACACTTACCAGCAGATCCCATGTGGCAAACGGTTCCAGCTCCTTCTGCGCAGGAGGGGATGGATGGGCTCCCGCCGCACGTGTGAAAGATCTTCCACCTACCTTCAGAGACGGGCTGGGTATCTGCTGTGCGAAGCAGCACCCCAAGTCGCCTTTATCCCCAAGGTCTGAGTGATCAGGCTGCCTTGCCCTGGGTTATTCCCTGACACCACTGATGCTCCTCGCCATTTTAACCCCCATGCAACATAACAGAGACATCTCCTTACGCCCTATTGGTTGCTGCAGGGGATACACCCTCTATCCTCCCACCGATGTCTGCCTTTGTGCTGTGAGACCAAGGGTGAGCGTCTCCTGGGCACGAGTACCCAGAGCCTCAGCTGGGATCAATCGACATAGTTCCAAGGCTGGTGGACCTGCTAACACATCAACGCAGCTGTGCCAAGTGGAGCTAGTCCTACGTGGGGAGTCTTCTATATGGGAAAGTCCTAGAGACCTGATCTGGGAGGGATAATCTTCCTATAAAATAGCTGTAAAAGTGTTCGGTGCCTAAGTGCCGTACACTAAGTGGGTATTCAGGGTTACTTGTTTGTATGTGCAAGGCTTAGCATATCAGGGCCATGAGGTGTTACTGGCAGATTAATAACAATAATAATGCCACATTCTAGAGATGTCTCACATTCTCTGCGTGAAGAGTCAAACCCAAAGCCTGGGTCTGATTCTCCCCTGCTTTGGACCATGTGTCACCTGTGTAAAACCAGGCGTGGACTAGCCCCAGGTCTACCAACCTCAGTGAACCTGGCCCAGGTTTCAGATCTATGAATGTAAGAGACAGGCAGGCTTTGCTTGAAAATGCCCTATCCCATAGCTGGCGTTGATCCTACTGGGAAAGGGTGAAGTGGGCTGTGCTGATTGGCCGAGGCAGGCGGTTTGTTACCCCACCTGGAAACGGGAGGTGGGAGTGGCGCTCTGGGGAGAGAGGATCTAGGGTGTGGGCTGAGCAGTGCAGCGGGAGGAGCAGCCAGGTCTGGGGAGAAGATCTGAGCCGAACTTTATGCCAGGTTAATTTTGGTAGTGTATTAATAAAGCCCGACCTGAGGAAGGGAAGAGGTTGTACTCCACACGCTGCGTGTGCAGGGCGTGAGAACAAGCTGGGAATGGCACTTCCGCACAGTAATGACAGCTGAAACCAGGCTTCTAAGAAGCCAGCATCCTGAGGATGGGGATGGAGTGGCTCTTTCAGCTCCAAAACCTCTCCAGAGAGAGTGGCTCTATCGAGGCCTTCCCCCACTGTATCGCCTACTCTTTCCCTAGGGTGGTTGAGGATGCTGGGAGCCTGATGCAGTCATGCTGTTACGTGGCCTGGATTTTACTACCAGCCCTGGCCAATTAATCATTTGCTGATTTCTTTCTAATAAGTTACATCTGCTGAGTTTCCACTGGGCCTCTGCCTGGCGAGGGGGGCCCCGCTTTCACCTAGGGTGACTTGAAATAAATAAATAGATACCACCTCTCTCCGCCCTCTCGCATGTTTATTTTCCCCTTGATCAATAAACATTAACCTCCCGCCTGCATTTGCTGGCCCACAGAGGGAAACAACAAGCAGGCAGCAGATAGGGGAGCCACTCTCTGCAGAGAGCCCAGAGGAAGTGGTGAGAGCAGCGGACAAACTGCAGCTGAACTCAAGTCAGAGCGCTGACGGAGAACTTACCAGCACGGGCTTTCAGCAGCCCTTCCTCCGAGAGTGAAGTGGGTGCCGTCAGAGGGAGATCGGTTGCTGGCAACAGGTAAGTCCTATATGAATTTTGTGTGTGTGTGTGTAGTTATCGGGGTTGGAGGCTCTCTACTTCAAGCTGCTGTCCTGTTCGCAAATGAAGCAGCGTCAGGCCCAGTCACTCCTCAACTGGGAGATCTCTACTACGGAGTGGGTTGTGTTGATTTCATAAGGGAGAGTGGGGTTCTGCCATGCAGCTAGGTAGTGACCCCCAGCTCCAGCAAGGCCGTAGAGAGAGCTGTGCTTAGCCTCAGTGTCCTGGCCCAGTTCTAGTTAGGGTAGAATTGCACCGTGCTCGTCTGACACGCCTCCCACCCACTGAGGCGTTTGGGACTCTTCACCTCCAGGTCTAAATGCTAAAAGGCAGGGAGACAGAACAAACAACAAACCTGTATATGAATACTCAGCCACTAGGACTATGAGATCAGAAGTCACTTCTGCTATTCTTCTGTTGTATTTTAACACCTGATTCTACCCTGGCTGGTTCTCTAGAAAGATCAAAGGTTAGATAAAGAACAGGAGTACTTGTGGCACCTTCGAGACTAACAAATTTGTTAGTCTCTAAGGTGCCACAAGTACTCCTGTTCTTTTTGCGGATACAGACTAACACGGCTGCTACTCTGAAACCAAAGATTAGACAGACTGTTCTGGAGCAATGCGTGCTGTTGAGCGGCGGCTGTGTTCCACCCCAGAGCTGGCTGCGTTTTGGTAGTGTGTGAAGTGGCTCAGAGGGCCCATAGAGATGCAAGAACATATTAATACACCAGAATGTGCGTCTCCCAGCCCCTTATCCATTCACACAGTTCCCCGAAGTGACACTGCACAACATCCCCCCCCCACACACACACAAACACTCTCTCGCACGGAAACACATCCTCACACTGACACAATAACAGACATACCCACCATACACTCCCGCTGACACAGCCATACCCACAGGCCCCATACTCCTCCCCCGCCTGCACAGAGACCAAAATGAGGGAAATGTTTAAGCCCCTTTGAGAACAGAGGCGATGCCTGTGACCTTGTACTTGTGTGCATCTAGGTATAGTGCGTGGGGGAGTGTAGGTGGCTATTGGTGCTGCCAGGCCCTGCTTCACTTCACCTCACGTCACACCCCATTGGGTCCCGGACCGGTTGTGTGCAATGCACGTACAGGTGAGCGTAAGTGTGGATATGGCTCAGTGCGTTCACACTGCCCAGCTGTGCCAGGCCAAAGCTGCTGCCAGTGGAGGAAGAATCAAAGACAAAGCCCCCAGGTGGGAGCAGCTGATTCAGGGCTTGGTGCACAGATGAAGCCGAGCAACGGGGCAGGACAAAGGGCCACTGTCAAGATCAGACTCCTGGGGTAAGTCCTGCTCTCAGCCACGCTCAGACAATGCTACGAGATTGCCCAGTTTCCTTGCTCTGGCCCAGGGCTGTCCCTTGGAGCAGAACGCGTCCATTACACAGCATCCTTAACTCGGTACAATCTGGGGGAATACCTCACCCTTGTGCTCCCATGCCAGGAAGGAGCCAGGGATAAGAAGCTAAGAGAAGAGACTGGCACGACCCCTGCGGATTTCTCGGCACCCGTCAGCCCTGGGCGATACACGTTCTGACAGCAACCCTGAAGCACAGCTCAGCCTAGAGCCAGTCAGCCTAGCGTTTCCCCGGCTGTACCATGGCGATAACAATTCCCTACCTTACGGGGCACTGCAAG